CCTGGAAGGGCAGAGAAAAACATAATCAATATCTCCTCGGATGTTGTTTTTGACAAGTGTCAGTTGAAGGTGTCTAGAGCTGTTGTTTCAGGGTCAGTCTGTCATACATGGATAACAGGGTTAGAAAAGTGGAACAACTTAAAGGTCCAGTCTGTAACATGTAGGAGGATCTATTGTCAGAAATGGAATATTATATTTATAGGTATGTTTTTATTAGTGTATAATCGCCTAAATATAAGAATTGCTCCATGACTCTTTCACGTCCGCCATGTTTCTACAGTAGCCCAGAACAGACAAACCAAACCCTGGCTGTAGATAGGATCTTTCATGTTTTGCACAGCTACCCGTCGTTTTTTGTACACACTTGGAAGGCTGAGCTGTATTCAGATTGTTGCAATCTGCAACATCACCACTAGATGCCACTAAGTCCTATGTTACATTAGCCACTAAAATAGATGTCATTGATAAATAATCTGTTCTATAACGTTATTTTTTTCCCATTATATTTCTCTTTTTAAGATCATAGAATAGAAATTACTTTATTTTCTAAAGCCTAGCTTAAGAATTTGAGCAATTTTCACACTAACAGCCATTGGTTTCCAATAGAGCCCAACCGTTATATCGGTCAGCTGATATTATGGGCCGATAGTGGCCTATCACAGTCTATATTCACAGGCTCTAGTTTCTATTCATATCAGTGTGTGACCTTCAATTTGCAGAAACTTGAAACGTGTTTTAGGCAGGTAGTCCATCACAGTCACAGTTGAGTTAAACTACAAGATCACTACCATTAAAAAGCAATTGTTACATTACAGCATTACCTACTGAGAAAAGCAACTTGTGAGAGTACTTTTGCGTTACCAAAAAATGAAAACTCCATGTGCATGTTGGTCATTTGTCCAGAGAGTATGTAGCCTACTGTGCATCCCTGTCCAGGGGTTTTAAACCTTGACCACCTTCCCAAATAAATGAGAAAAAAAAACATAACATGACAAAAATTAAACTGGGCTATAAATTTGACACTGTCAGCTACAATGATCAAAATGTATACCTCGCTCTTAACGTGGCGAGTTGTTAATGTTGTGATGACTTTCTGTTGAGTCTGAAGCCCGTCTCTTTTCTTTAGGAAATATTCTTCTGGCTTTCTAACACAACCCGGGTGCTTTGTGTTTAAGTGTCTCTGGAGCTTTGATGGTTTTAGCGCCTCATTTGACGAGAGTTATATTTCCTCACCTCACGCTTTAGAGCTTTTACTGGCGCAGGGTTGTCTCCCACATCATTTTTTCTTTTCAAAAACCGATCCATATTGTGTCAACCGTCGGATGCAGTGACAAACGTTTGTCTTCACCTATGTACTTATCTGTCTGTCTGTGTCATGATTGGCTTGGTGATATTCAAACATAACTGGTCATTAAAATTACACATTTTACATTTTTTATTTGTGTATTCTTGAGCACATTTAGATACAAAAAGAACTAGCTTTGGAAATTACTCAATAAATAAAAAAATAATTTAAATCTAACTATTTCTTGGTACCACTGCCTCCCATAGATTGCTGGGCGCTGCAGTAATGCAGCTGACGGCAGGAAGTGTTTGGAAGCTTGTGTTCACGGATGGTTTGATGTGTAAGGTTTGACGTATGGAACAGTGACCTTTTCAGTACAAGAAACCACATTCTCTTAATCTTTCACATAATGTCATGACTGCTTGTTCTCTGCCTTCGGGCAGGAAACATTCATTCAGCTGTATCAATGCATCAGTTTGTAATCATGCCAGTTCAACTGCATTGGTCTCTTAAAAGCAATAATTAGATTGAATCGCTCTGACTTCATCACTGCTAATACTGCTAATACTGTTACTGGCAATACTTTTTAATTTCTAGTTCTGCCACTACCCTACCTACTACTATAATGAAAAATATTTGATATTATTCAGTGTTCTACATTACCTATTTATGTGCTGAAGATATTCAATGTTTCGATCTAGTTCCTGGGTCATTTTATGGAAACAGTCTTCGGTGATTGATGTAATGCAAATAACAACA